GACAAGTGATTTAAAGTATTCAGACCGACAGCGACGAACTCGACAAGGAAGTTACACTCATGAAAATAGCTAACTGTCGCGAAAGAAGAGTTTTCCGCCGATAACCATCATTTTCAATTATGCTACTTTATCACAAGTGCTAGAAGACGTCTGTCTTAAAAACACCACACACCGACTGAAATAGATTTTTGGTGTTGGAGGGTGAGGTTTGAAGAAAGAGAACACGGTAAAACTAAAAGTGAATAATTACAAAAAGGAAGGGTTTGATTAGCTTTAAAGAGTTAAGCTCCCGAGTCTATGAGATACTTGACACTCATTCGGCCACTTTGGGAAGTCGTTCTAGAGTAAACATTTTCCTGCGATGTAAACAAAGGAGAAGCTTTAGCCGCTTGCATACATACGGAAATATTTCAGATTAACCAGGACACTATAAATCTTTGTTACTCAACTTTGTTAACAACCCATCTTCATTAGAGTCATCAGAATGTGCAACTAATGTTAACTGCTCGAGTTTATAAAATAACTTTCCTGATTACAGGAACAATACTCTAAACCACAAACTGAACCTCCCAATTACGTACATTATGCAAGATCGCACAAAAGGATTTACTAACCAAAACTCTAGAATATTGTGTCGTGAATCAATATGGTTTGTGAGACCTCAATAAAGGACCCAGACATTGTTATTCACTTCTAAGCAAATGAATATTCTCACAGGTGTAGGCATAGCATTGGGTTCAAAACGTCGTGCACTACTGAAGTTGAAAGTCGGTTGTATGCTATATGAGTGACTGGTAGTATACGAAATGGGAAGAAACGGAATACACTGTACCGTAATTTTGTAGTTTCTCTGACTCCATTCCAGAAGAAATAAAGACGAATTCTAACAAAAGCAGCCTAGCCTTTTCTGAAATTTTAGATGACTAGATCCAGCTATTGTAACTTTTAGACGGGGCTTTTTACAGTCTATCGAACTTAAAATGACAGTGACGATTTGGTGGAATAGAACTCATGGTTAAATGAATTAATACACGAGGACATCGTCTACTATTATTATCAGTTTTAAGGTACAAAATGTCGACAACATCTGAACATTTAAAAATGTTACATTGAATGCATATTGTGCACAATTACTACAAAAGATGAACATCACTAGAGAAAAAGAATTAATGGATAATTTGATATAATAATGGTAATTATATACGAAATAAAAAGTGGTTATTTTACCGCGATGAAGCCATTAGTCCAGAGAGGATTACATTTCTTTCTTCAAATGCGTCATAATTACTGCAGTATAAATAAGCCAAAACTTTTATCGGTTTTTGGACAGTGGAAATTGATGATTCATGTTTAATTAGTTCACAACATTCTAAAAGCTCGTTAATATTCTTGTATATGAATAAATAAACACAATATTCTGTCAAAGTATTCAAGTGATTAGCCTTAAAACTTTGGAAAGAACTTGGAGGCATTGAATTATTAACGCTGAATGGTGTTAACGTTAGATTTCCCTGTACCGAATCAACAATTGGACTACAATCTTTGTTATTATTATGATTACCATAAGCAGCAGTACCAAAATTGTTTCCCAATGAACTACTATTCGGGGCAGAGAACGCTGACATCTGTGATGCTGTCAGAGACATATGAACGGGTTGAATGGTTAGACCATTTGGACGACGATTAGGAGGATCTGAGTAGAATGGCAAAGGATTGAGAATAGGTGTTTGATTACGAAGATTTTTAGAAGAATTTGAAAAAATTATGACACGAAACTGACGTCCAGTCTAATAAAGTAGACAAAATAAACATAAGGCAGATGATAAGTGAAGACGTATCATTTTTAAAGGAATTACTCAATTTGAAACCGAAAAACATGTTCAATAGAAAGAAATGATAAGTATATGAACCAGTTGGCACATGAGTTCAATTAATTAATAAATTGATGTGAAACACATTAAATAATTTATTTTTCTATTAACTCCCTAATGATGTAAGTAAGGAACGAAACGATGAACTCCGCGATTGTTAAGAGAATTTTCGAGACTCAAAAATGTGTAGATGATCAGTTGCTAGAAACATATATGTCAATATAACTGAAAAATTTAGGTAATACTATCTTAAGTATCAGTTTAGACAGACCACTGGTAAAATAACCAGAAATACAACAGACTCAACTATGACAATATAATATTGAGTGATAGCTATTCAAAGATAACACGCCAGTTTTTATATCTCCATACTATCAGCAATTCAAGTTCCTTCTGAACTTTGTTTAAAGACAACCAAGTTGAAAATGTCTAATGCCAATGTATGAAATATAGTTATCATTAGAAAAAGTTAAATGGTGAATGTTCATTAAGTTTGTGGTTTAAAGTTGAGGACTCAATAAATGGGTCTGGTGAATTTGGTTTTCAAAAGATTCAGACCGCATTCCAACTGCAGACTTATCCGTTTTTGTAGGGGTTGGGGATATTGCCCGGCTGTTAGACAGAAACAGTCGAAGTAGCTCTCGAACCTGGGACCTACAGGCTGAAAGCCGAGTGTTTTAATCCACAGAGTACCATGGTAAAAAGCGAAACCTAGAAAGAAGTGAACCAGTCACAATTCACAACGACGAATTTATGAAGCAAATAAAAATGGTTTGAAAAGAGAGAAAATAGGTCGTTATTAGTCGTATAAATATTTAGTTAAGAAATGCTTTTAAAAAGTATGACATTTATATTACACAATTTCCCAGGTGACTGGTTTTTTAGTTAAGTTAATGATGTAAAGAAACGAGTAGTGTGGGAGTACGACTCATAGGAATATCACAGAGAATTACTGATTATATTTATAACTGATAATTAGTAGACGCTTGTATTGTTGTACTCTTATAGCTTTTTTATGCTTTCGTTTGACCTATAAATAGTTGTCAAATCTCATTGTTTCAGATTAACTATCAACCAATCCGGTTTTGTATTACTTATGACTAAGTTATGTACACTGTGATTTCTTATGTTGTGTGGTTAGCCACTTCAAGAACATTATTTTGTGTTTTGAATCATGGCTGAACGGATATAATAGAGAACTGATCTTTTTATCTTCATCTTTTGATTGACCACTGGTTTAGAAGCTCGAAGGCCTATAAGCATTACCATTTTGGCTGCTACTCATTGACCGGTGTCGATCAGTAAATAGGTCACAGGTTCTACTGGCAATATGGGTGAACTAATCGATAATCAGACTAAAGAGTTGGTACAACTGCTTTCCTGTCATTACGGTCAGATTACACGGAACCTAATACAATCTAACCAAGCAATCTGTTTTTCCTAATATAACAGTCAGTTAATTGATAGCATTGGGATCCGAAGAGCGCATTTCGTTCCATTTAGGACTCTTCAGGTGAATTTACTTGCATCTCAGGGTTAACATTCACATTGGGATTCGAACACATTACACTTCACTTCAAACCTCCATCACGCTATTCACTAAGCTACTGAATTCAAATGGTCAGTAACCTATGAAACGGGTATGTATCCTATTTAGAAATTTTTGGATCTTCGCTTTGTCGTTCTTAAAAGCTGCAATTGCCTAGTCGCTTGTAATATGAGCATCGTGGGAAGATCCCCTCGATACTCCCAATTATTCACATATATTTATTCGTAAAGTTGGTCAGTGAAACATGCCGAAAAGGAGTGATTGATTAGATACCTCAATAGCAACAAACAAGAAGACTCAAACGCTTATGACTACGGCTTTATTTGAAAAGTAAAATAATTGCCAAAAAAGATTCTCATCAGGTTTTACAATTATACATCTAAATTAAAGTTTCAAGTTTAAGACAAATAAATTAATCACTTACTTACGCCTGTTACTCCTAATGGAGCATAGACCGCCGACCAGCATTCTCCAACCCACTCTGTACTGGGCCTTTCTCTCCAGTTCTATCCAATTTTTGTTCATTTTCCTCATGTCTATTTCCATTTCCCGGCGTAATGTGTTCTTTGGTCTTCCTCTTTTCCTTTGACCTTCAGGATTCCATGTGAGGGCTTGTCTTGTGATGCAGTTGGGTGCTTTCCTCAATGTGTGTCCTATCCACTTCCAGCGCTTCTTCCTGATTTTTTCCTGTTGTAATCTGATTTGTTTTCTCCCACAGTAGGTTGTTGCTAATAGTGTCTGGCCAACGGATCCGAAGTATTTTGCGTAAACAGCTATTAATAAACACTTGTATCATCTGAATGATGGCTTTGGTAGATCTCCAGGTTTTCGCCCCATACAGTAGAACTGCCTTGGCATTTGTATTGAAAATCCTGACCTTGGTGTTGGTTGACAGTTGTTTTGGGTTCCAAATGTGCATCAATTGTAGATATGCTGCTCTTGCCTTGACGATTAGCGGCTTTACATCTGCACCAGATCCACCGTGCTCATCAATGATACTGCCCAGATATGTAAAGGTTTTTACATCTTCCAAATCTTCTCCGTCAATTGTGATTGGATTGGTGCATGCTGTGTTGTATCGGAGAATCTTGTTTTACTCTTTGTGTATATTGAGACTTACTGCTGTTGAGGCTGCTGCTACCCTGTTCGTCTTCTCCTGAATTTCTTGTTGCGTTTGCGATAGAAGAGCCAGATCATCTGCGACGTCTAGATCGTTCAGCTGCACCTTAGCTATCCAATGTATCCCGTGCTTCCCTTCACATGTTGACGTCCTCATGATCCAGTCGATCACCAGGAGAAAGAGAAAGGGTGAGAGTAAGCAACCTTGCCTAACACCGGTCTTCACCTCGAACGACTTTGTCAATTGTCCTCCATGCACAATTTTGCAGTTTAATCCATCATATGAACTCTGTATGATATTGATTATCTTCTGAGGCACGCCGTAGTGTCGAAGAAGTTTCCATAGTGTTGTTCTGTCCACGCTATCAAATGCCTTTTTGTAGTCAATGAAGTTGATGTAGAGTGATGAATTCCATTCAATTGATTGTTCCACAATGATCCGTAGAGTTGCGATTTGGTTTGTACACGATCTTTCCATACGGAATTCTGCCTGTTGGTCACGAAGTTGGGCGTCTACGCAGTCCTTCATCCTGTTTAACAATACCCTGTTGAAGACTTTTCCCGGTATTCAGAGAAGAGTGATGCCTCTGTAGTTATCACACTTGCTGAAATTGCCTGTCTTTGGTATTTTGATGATGTGTCCTTTTTTCCAGTCTGTTGGCACTTGTTCCTCATCCCAAATCTCATTGAAGAGAATGTGGAGTATCCTTGCAGTTGCCACTACGTCTGCTTTCAGTGCCTCTACTGGAATGTTGTCTGGTCCCGCTGCTTTACCACTCTTGATTTGTCTGATGGCCATGCTGATTTATTCAATTGTTGGTGGGCCAACATTGATTGGGAGGTCCGTCGGTGCTGCTTCGATGTTGGGTGGGTTCAGTGGCGCTGGTCGATTCAAGAGTTCTTTGAAGTGTTCTACCCGCCTGTTTCGTTGTTCTTCAATGTTGGTGATTACCTCGCCTTCCTTGCTTTTCACTGGTCGTTCTGGTTTGCGGCGATTTCCAGCGAGTCTCTTTGTCGTGTCATACAGTCGTCTCATTTTTTCTTCTCTTGCAGCCTTTTCCGCCGTCGTTGCTAAATCTTCCACATATTTACGTTTGTCAGTCTTGATGCTCCTCTTCACTTGTTTGTTTACTTCTGTGTATTCAGCTTGTGCCTTGGCTTTTTCTGCTCTTGTTTGGCTGATATTGATTGCTGCCTTCTTGTTCCTCCTTTCTTGAATCTTATCCAGTGTATCAACAGTGATCCATTTCTTGTGATGGTGCATCTTGTGGCCCAGGACCTCATGACATGTTGAAGTGATTGCCTCTTTTATCCCTTTCCAGATGCTCTCCATAGCAGTCTCCTCTCCATTGAGTAGATCATGAAAGGCCTGGAACTTGTTGCTGAGAACTATCTTGAATTTGTTGAGTTTATCAGTATCCTGAAGAAAGGCCGTAATGAACTTTTGTGATACTGTCTGCCCCGTTGTCCAGTGCTTCTTGAGTTTCAATTTCATCTTGGCGACCAGTAAGTGATGATCTGATGCTATATCAGCTCCTCTCTTGGTTCTCACGTCCTCTATAGTCCTGAACGTTTTGTTGATGCAAATATGGTCGATTTGGTTTTGTGTAGAGTGATCCGGTGAAGTCCATGTGGTTTTGTGTATGCGTTTATGTGGGAATATGGTGCCGCCTATGACCAGTTTATTGAAGGCACATAGGTTTGCAAATCTCTCACCATTTTCGTTCTTTTCGCCCAGTCCGTGTCGTCCCATGATGTCTTCATATCCAGTGTTATCCATTCCAACCTTGGCATTGAAATCTCCCATCAGAATGGTCAAGTCCTTTGTTGGGCACTTCTCGATGATTGACTGCAGCCTATTGTAGAATTGATCTTTAGCGTCTTTATTGTATTCGTTGGTAAGCACATAGCATTGGATGATGTTCATTGAAATGCCCTCTTTCTTTGTTTTGAACGAGGCTTTGATGATCCGTGGTCCATGAGATTCCCATCCTATAAGTGCTTTTTGTGCTTGTTTGGACAGCATCAATGCAACTCCTTGTGTGTGGGGGGCATTTTTTCATCATGGTCGGAGTTTAAAAGAAGCTCACCTGAAGTTAGTTGTTGTTGTCCAACTTGCGTCCAATGTGTTTTACTGATCCCAAGCACCTGTAGGTTGTATCTTCTCATTTCTGCAGCAATTTGGAAGGCTCTCCCGGTGTCCCACATTGTACGAACATTCCATGTACCTAAATAAATGATTGCTCTGGTTGTCAGAAGAGGCATCGGCCTCGTAGCTTCCGAAGGAATTCGGCTTTCATCATGAGGCGTCATAACTCTTCTAAACGAAGGCCTTCTGACTCCCAGGACAGAGTTTAAATGGTTTGAAATATTTTTTTCTGATTAGCGTTGTTTTAGCGAGTTATTTTTCTACGGGATGGTGTTGCTAACCCCATGCCCAGCCCTCCTCCTTTATCCGGGCTTGGGACTGGCAAATAAATAAATTACAGGATATGAATTCAGGATTGTTGGTGAAATCAAATTAAATTGTTAGTGTTGAAATGACTAGTGTATAATATTAACTTGAATCAGAAAAAATATAGATAAAACAAGGAGGGCGAGATGATGATGTAATCATAAATTAGATCAAGTTTGGATGAAAAATTTATTCGGAAGGATATTTTTTAGTTTAACTGTTTTTCAATAATTTATCTTCATAACGTTTTTAGAACGTTAGACATCAAATTTTAAAATCCTAGTGAGTATGATAAGGATTTAATTAATTGTCGACTAACGGTTGCCAGTCATGACATTAAATATAAACTTTAAAGTTATGTACTATGACAGGGTATATACATTAATATAACAAGAATTTACTTGTTAGGGTTAAGCATTTACTCTGAGTAATTCTTTAAAAATATTTCAAGTTACCAATGTGTTACCTGATCTGTGTATGGGTGCTTTCAGTTTTGTATTTCTTTAGGTCATGATGTGTAGGCGTCTCGAAATGAATACATACAAAAATCGCAACAAATTGTTTAGTAGACATTTATAACTACATACTAGCACAAACAAACAAGAAAATCAATATGAAATGTGTCTGCACACAAATTATAATGATATAAAGTTGAACGTGATCAGAAAGCTATGGTGAATTACATTTCGAAGAAAGTAACCAAAAACAGAAACACAGTCTTAATATTGATGATAAAGTTGTAAATCAAACTTAATATGGTTAGTTTGAAGTACACAGATTGCTCGTTTGAAGGTAATTACGCTGCATTTCTGTAAATGAGTAAGTTTGAGGAAAAAACACCTACTTGTTCGATAATCGGAGTATTCGATTTCATGATGAAAGACTAGTAGTCATTAAAATACTTCGGATTGTGATCTTAATCTAATTTATATGGGTAAACCGTCTTAAAACAATGATAAGGAGCGAATTGAACAAATAAATATTCATTTTTAATAATCTACGAAGTTGATGAATATATGAGAAAAATAACCTTTAGGTTAAAGCCCACAATGCAAACAAATGTCGGTTACTGAGGACGGATGAGTTGAAAAGTTACATTGTTGGCACAAATGCATCATGATTTCTATGTTTTTTGTAGATTGAATAACATTAGTGAAAAGCATAAATTGAAGTCTTTTTTCAACTATCACTTACCTTGTTCCCGACTCTACACTAACAGATTATTCAAGTGAATATAAAATATTAATCAACTAAGGACTGTGAGTCAATTCACAATTTAAATTAAAGTTTAATGTAATCCACGAACATAATTACAAGAATGCAACTTAAAAATATATATCGATAAAGTAATACCTATTGAATAAACTGAAAGGGACCGTTAATGGACAACATACTTATGAGAAGTTTTGTTAAGTGATCAGACAAAAAACATCGATTATATGGAATAGAACTTTGAAGATTAAGGTATTTATTGAGTAATACTAAATAATGACAAATGGAACAAATGAGAATAAATAGTCATGTTTGCATTTACACACAAAACAGTAATATACACAATGAATTTCGTAAAGATATGATGCAAAATTAATAAAACAGCTTAACAAAATTTAATGAACTGAGGTAATTGATAGTAAAGAACTAAGTGTGATCAAATATCATAGTGTAGTACTGTACACAAAAACTGGGAAGACAATGCCCACATTCGTTGGAAACAACGGAGGTGGTTATATGCCCTCAGTCTTTTTGAAGTGATTTTGTACAAAGCTTCTTTTAAAATGTTAATGGACGTGATTAAAGGGTATTCCTCTCCAACATGCATCTTTCGAAACAGCCTTGTCAAACGAACTGAAGTAGGGTTTCAAACTAACAAACACAAATAATGTTGACCTGTGACACATGTGGCCATGTTTAAACATCTGGTGTGATTATATCCACTTAGCTTGAAAATCAAAACATTTTGGAATAAAAACTACAAAAATATTAAGGATATACTTAGGAAATCAACAGTTTACCACATTCGCATTGTAGAAAGCATAATTATGCTAACTTGGTATTTGGTTTTAGAATTTCATTACAGAAAAATGCATAACATGCCCAAAACAATTTACGTGACAAAGAACTTATGTTAATTCATTATTTGTTTGTTTCTTTATAAGAAATAAATTTGTAGCATAAACACTAATTAGTCATATTATTTATTGATTCTAAAAATCACAAAAATTCGAGAATATATGATCATATTAAGTCTAAATGTTAGGCGGAATTGTCACAACTAATTAGACATAACTACGAAGATAATTATCGATGTATGCAGAGAGAAAAATAGGAAAGTGGATCGACAAACTACATTATTCGTGTTATATATATATATATATATATTGTATTCTCATGAGTACAAGTGTCAATTATGAGTTTCCTATTAAATGGGGAAAGCTGACAAATCAAACTAATTGATCATATTTAATTTCTAACAAACTCAGGTACAAAAAATAACAAGACATCTAAATCTTTTTTTGGAAGTTTTGTATATAATTGGCGAACATATTGAGCAAACACAAAACGAACAAGCTAAATTTAGCTGGCAGATACCTCACAACAGCAATGTTAATGTCACATAAAAGATGTTGTAATCTGGTTAACTATGAACTTATGCTATCACAAACAAATACAACGTAGCACAGCAAACAAAATTTTAGTACAAACAGAGCTTACTAGACAGCCGTCGATGAGTAGTAAGCCCTGTATGGAAGTTGAGAACCATAGATAATTAATTTAAGTCGCCACGGTATTTATACAACCATTCGTCAACCATGTATGGTACCCGTTATAGTCAAACGTCAATTTTGTGGCTACATTGGCTTTTGTAAAATGAAGATTTGTCTCACGCGACAACCTACTACAAGCCCCGAAATAACCATACGCAATATTAGATACAATACTGACTGGAAGATGATTAGATTAGAAAGAAACTAAAAGAAGCCCGGTTAGGAAATATAAGTAGATAGTGCAGCCGCTGACTGTTTGCTTGAATGACTTATGAAGGTTCAGACAATTTTGTGGTCTTTGCAATAGTGTTAATAATAAGTGAGTAGAGATCCAAGATGGCATATTTAAAAGTTGATCACACCAGTGGAGAATAAATCGCTTTTGGTGTTCTTAATTGAAAAAACCGCAATACTTCCTTCTCTCGACTTACCTTAATAACTATTATTTGTATTGATTTCTTATGCGGCTGTTGTAAAGTATAGCAACTTGAATCAATGTGTTTTAACTCTGCAATGGTATTTTTCTAACAATTGTCTGTTTCTAAACGCATGTTAGCTCAAAATTTACACATAAAACACTTACGGACACGAATCATTAGTAAACACTTCATATCAGTCAGTCAGTAACAACGTAGAACCTCATACGTACGTACATCAGTTCGAGTTGCCACACCACATTAGCGCAGAGATGCAGTGGTCGATTCAAATCCCGTAGTGGTAGAGGTAATAAGAGTATAAGCAGTAGTCGGGAAAATTAGTGTTTGGATATGTTATTTAAAGAGTATAATACAGTGAAATAAATTTGGGAAGAGAAAAAAAGAGACAAGGAGGAATAAGGAGATCAAAACTTGGGAGAACACAAAGAGCATATGCACCTGCGCCATTGCAAACGATTTTGAGCCATGTCATTCAGGGTCTCTAACCATCGGTTGCTATCATCTCGCGGTCCCCAACCAAGTAGCCTACACCTACCAACATAACTCAGTCCACTTGTCAGTGATTTCAAGGACTTGTGCCATGTTTTGGTCTGGCCACCCCTAGCTTTC